GAAAATGCTCCACCAACCCATATAGAAAAACAGTAAAGAGAATGGGATTGGCCTGAACCCTCTCCAATGGTTTGTTCCAGTGAATAATCTTCCTTACTTTTGATTTGCCCTATTGAGAGGGACAGGGTCAATTCATCCTGTCGGTCAGCAAGTGCCTACCATATTTATGGTAAGAATACCTCCTAAGAATACCTCCTCCCCTTCCACCCCCACCTTAGTTAACTTCTATTCGATATTCAGAATTTAGCTTAAATATCATTTCAGCTACTAAAGTTTAAGACTAGGCCAGGTCCCCCTGGCGTGTGCCCTCATGGCGCCAGGAGTCTTACCTTTTTTGTTGTTGTTGTTGTTGCGGTACGCGGGCCTCTTACTGTTATGGCCTCTCCCGCTGCGGAGCACAGGCTCCGGACGCGCAGGCTCAGCGGCCATGGCTCACGGGCCCAGCCCCTCCGCGGCACGTGGGATCTTCCCGGACCGGGGCACGAACCCACGTCCCCTGCATCGGCAGGCGGACTCTCAACCACTGTGCCACCAGGGAAGCCCCAAGTCTTACCTTTTTTTTTGCACTTCGTGGAATGCACTTACAGTTTTGCTTTTGTGGTGATTATGTGCTTAAGGCTTGTCTTTTCTGTAATCTAGATAAAGACAGGGACTTGGTTTTTGCTTAAGAGTGTATCCCTGGTACTTAGCTTGGTGCCTGCTGTGTAGTAGCTGCTCAATTCTGAAGAAAGAAAAAGAGGGAGGCTCTGATGCAGGGGTCATCAGAATCTCCCCACAGCACGTTTCTCACCAGAGCAGCGTGCGTTTGCTTTTGGTGGCCTCTGACTGCCTGCAGCAGCGCTCCTCCCCGGGGCCCTGAAGAAAGCAGCATGAGAAGCAGGGTCATTGAGAATAGCACTGTCTTCGAAAATGGTGTCTTGTGTGGGGTGCCCCATGCGAATCTCTAAGAAAGGTACCAACACCGATAGCAAAAAGGCAAAAAAGCAAAAAAGAAGTCATTTTGGGTCGATATAATTCTGGCAGTTAAAGGTCTAGTAATTCTTTTTAAACTATACCTTGAAGAGTACCCTTTCTCCGAGCTCATACTGTCATCTGTGTGGCTATTAAGGGGTAGAAACTTGGGCAAATTTGGCTTTATTTCCATTTTAGCAAGGAACTAGAATTTCTACAGTGATAAAGTGTAATGATGGCATGGTGGACAGGTTTTATCTGTGTCTTCAAAAACTAACAGTAAATTACAAGTCTTACTTAGAGTAATAGAAAACTAGTGCTGATGTCCCTTTTTTTTTTTGGGAGGGAGGGAGGGAGAGGGAGGGAGGAAGGAAGGAAGGAAAGGGGAGGGAAGGGGAGGAAGGGTTGAGTTAGACTGAGATAGGCAAATATTGCTATGGCTTACAGATCAATGTAAGTTTAAGTACAAGAATGTCATGATCGGATCTATATTTTTAAAGGCTCACCCTTTTTAAACCCAGATCTTGCTCCTTTTCTGCCTATTTTATCTTGCATGCTGAAACCACCACACTCCCAGTTGCCCAAACTAGAAACACAGAAATTATCCTAGCCTTACCTCTCCCTCACCCTGCAATTAGCCACTCAATCCTATAGATTCTTTAAAGAAGTTTTAAATCCACCTGATGATCTCATTCTGAATGGTGTGTCCTTCACTCAGTCCCTTCTCACCTCTTTCCTGGTTGTCTCCAGTAGTCTTCTATCCAGTCTTTCCAGCTAGGAACTTCCAATGGTTTCTCATGGCCTTCAGGAAAAAGTCCAAATTGTTTCCTATGGTGCAGAAAGCCATCTGAGATTGGGACCCCATCTAACCTTTTTGGCCATCACTCACCTCCTCCCTTCCTAGGTTGTGTTTCAGCCTTGTTGAACTCCTGGCAGGTTCCCAAACATGCCAGATGGTTTCGAAACACCGGCAGAGTCTCCACTCCCTCAGTTCTGAATGGAATTTCTTCCACCTTCCATGATGAAATCCCATTATTGTTCAAAATTCAGTTTACGGGTCATTTCCTCCCTGAAGCATGTCTTAACATCCATCTTAGCACCATCTTCCTCCTCTGTCCTCCTATTCCATCATTGCTCACTCTCTAGAGTCCTCTGGAATTCCCTTCCATGGCATTGGTGACATACTTTGTTTCATTCATTGTTGCTCCAAGGAAGGACCATCTGCATTTTTTTTTTAATCCTGTTTTGAAAAAAGTTACTGTTTCGTTTCTTTAATTTAAAAAATATTTATCATCATCATCATCACCATCATCACCATGCAGACTCCTGTGCTCCAAACCTACTGAAGGTCTATGAACCTCGGCCCAAAACTGGCTCTTAAAAATTCTCCTAGGTTACTGGTCATGTCCTGTTTGTTGATCAGGTGCTGGCTACACAGGATGTTCATTTGTGCAAAATTCACTGAGCTCTACCCTTAGGGTATGTGTACATTTCTGTATGTATGTTATTTTCAACAGAAAGTTTAAAAGGAAAAAGCTCCCTAGGTTATTCTTATGATGGAGAACCATTGACTTTCCTCTCCCTCTCTCTGAATTGTAAGCCCCTAGAGGACAATGAAGGCATTTATTTTGGCTTTGTACTCCCTGCATTCGTTCTACTGCCTACAATGTAGTACATGCTTAATAAATGATTAGTAAATTAAAAAATGAACAGAGGGAGAGAGTGCCTGTGGCACTCTCTCCCTCCCTCTCTTCCAAACATTATCTGTTCAACTCCCTGCTGGAGCACATGACAGCTCACGCCTCAAAATTACACCTCTGAGACTGCCCCCCGCCCCCATACACCTGTGAGATGCCTCCTGGCTTCCTCTCTACCACATGCAGGGTGTAACTGATCCAGGGCACCAGCCTGACGAGGATGAGAGAAAGGAAGCAGGTGGAGGACTTTCTGTCCCCAAACCAGTACTTCTGCCCTACCTGGGTCTGAGCCACCTGGCTCAGGCCTTCCTCACCATGCCTGGGAACCAAGCTGGAGAGAATATGTCCTTGGAGATACTGCATTGCTAAATCTTCTATTTGCATTTCTGATGTAAAGTGCTTCCTAAACTACTCAGCTTAAATTATGTAGGAATGTGAAAACTTTATATTTGAATATTTAGGTGTAACAATGGAGGTTTTTGTTGTTGTTGTTTTGGCTTTTTTAGCAAATTTACAGTAGAAAGTGAGAGACACCCTGGGTGAAATATCACCAAAGTCATTTATTCAGTCACAAATGATTACCAAGAGCTTCCTAGGGATACAATGATGAAAGAGAGTCATCTGCCTTAATGGAGATTACAGTGTAGTGGAGGGAGAGAATCAAATAATATGTAACTTTTTCATAGCACCTATGATGTGCTGGACACTTTACATATATATTCATTTCATCACTGTAACAACTCAGTGATGTTCTATGATTACCCCCATTGTAGCATTGCAGACTGATAGAGTCATGAAGTTCAAGTGTAGGAGGAGAGATCCCTAATCTTGTCCTAAGGGTCAGGAAAGATTTCTTTAAATATAAGCAGTTGAAGCAGAGATCTGAGGATTGAGCTGGAATCTAGTAGACAAAGAGGTCTGGGAACAGGCAACGGAAACAGCAGATGCAAAGGGATATTCGTGTGTTTGAGGAACTGAAAGCCTTCTCTGTAGAGGGAGCGTCAGGAGATCAAGACGAGGCAGGGGAGGTAGGCAGGGGCCAGATCACCTAGGTTTTTTCTCCATGTCTTCAAAAGTATAATAAGGTCAGGGAAGCAAAGATAGGAGAATTAAGGTTTATTCTTAGCTTTGTTCTTACTAACCTCAGCCATCCCTCTGTGGCTCCGTTTCCCTATCTGAAAAAATGTGTGAATGGACCAAAGCACTCAAGTGGTCATGGGTTCTAAAGCTCTGATTCTAGGTCAGGCTCTGCTGGAAGGAATTCCGATCAAGGTGCAGGCCCTGGCTGCTGCTGAATGCACCCAGGCCTCTGACTCCTCTGTAGATTAAGTAAATACAGATGATGGAGAACATCACACACAATAAGTTACACAGTAAATATGGCTGTGAGTATGGTTTGTTCCCCTTGTTGGAGGTGAAGGGTGATCTGCTAATAATAACAGTGTAATAAGGATAACCACCTCTTGTGGGCATTTAACTGTGTGCCAGGACTGTACCAGGTACTTTCAGATAGATTTCTCATGACAGCTCCTAGTTAGATTCAAAAGCTGAGGCCTCACGGGATTACACAGCTTTAGGAAGGTCCTCACCACCCAAATTTGTCCTGCCTACTGAGCATGTCCAGTCCTGTCCCCTGTCGCCAGGTGTGTTAACTTGAGCAATGACTTTCTCTTGGTTTGATCAGGGGCTGAGTTGGAATTTGAACCCAGCTCTGACTCCAGAGCCTATGGGGTTGTCTACCCTGTGATGCTGCCTTCCCTTCTTAAAACACAGGCAACTCCTTACTCTATAAATAGAGTGACATTGTCTCTTAAACGTCCTTTCTGGGTGAGGAAAGTGCTTTTTATAGCTTGGGACTGCTTCTGTTTACTTGGTCTCTTCCAGCACCGGTTAATCCCGCCTACATCTGTGACCTTCACTGTCCTTACACTGAATTCCTAGGTTTCCTCCCTGCAAAAGACAACTCCACGAGGCCACATGGTGTCCGTGTGTGCCAGCAAAGAAATTACACGCTTCTCCCTCTCCAAATCCGCCTATCTTTCTTTAAATAATCGTTCTCCTTCCCCTCAGGCCTGTAAGTAGTTTGGTCACTTCACTAAACACACACACACACACTCACAAAGGTTTCGGGGAGGAGGGTACGACGTGAATGACCTTGCAAAGGTATCTAGCTCACTGCGGACAGGATTAGCAAACTCAAACCTCTACAGATATTTGTCTTCCCCGCACATTCCTCCCGAAGCTGCTCGCTCCTCTCGCGGCGGCCTCGCCCAGTCCCCTCTCGGCTCGCTCCGCCATACAAAGCCCAACCCGCCCATCTTTGCTTTGCAAAGCCAGAGAACTTCAGTCCCCATGTTGAAGCTCGGCGGTGGCGGCGGCGGTGGCGGGCAGGACTGGGCATGCTCAGTAGCGGGGACAGGTCTGGGAGGCGAGGAAGCCGCGTTTGAAGTCGCGCGGCTGGGGGATCCGGGGAAGGCGGGCTGCCGGGGCCCCGGCTGGGGGTGCTCTGGTATCCCCGATTCCGCGCCGGGAGTGGGCATGCTCCAGGCCGGCGCCGGGGGGCCGGCGCGCGGGGGGCAGGGCGTGGAGGAGGTTGGAGCGCCGGCGGGAGGAGGGGAGGAGCGCCCGGCTCGCCATCCCCCGGCGCCGGCTCTGCGGCTGTTGAATCGGAAGCCGCAAGGAGGATCCGGGGAAATAAAGACGCCCGAGAATGACCTCCAGCGAGGCCGCCTGAGCCGGGCCCCGCGCGCCGCCCCACCAGCCCCTGGCATGGGCGACCACGGCGGGCAGCCGGAGCGCTCGGCCTCGCATGCCCCGGGGACTCCTGCCGGCGCTGCAGCCGTGAACGGGGTGCTGCACAACGGCTTCCACCCGCCGCCCATCCAGCCGCCGCGCCTCTGCAGCCGGAGCCTCCCGGGCGGCGGCGACGCGGCGCCCCCGCGCCTCCCGCTTCAGCCAGAGCTCCAGCCACAGCCGCCGCCCCCTCAGCACGACTCCCCGGCCAAGAAATGCCGGCTGCGGAGGAGGATGGACTCGGGGAGGAAGAACAGGCCGCGTAAGTCCCTCCGGGAGGGGAGCGCGGGCGCCAGGCAGGCGCAGCGCGGGGTCCGGCACCCGGGAGCGGCGGGCCAGGCACCGAAGCGCGCGTCGTGCACACCAGCGCCCACCGTCGGCGGACCGCTCTGAGGGGGCGCAAGCACTACAGATCGTTGCCTAAGCCTGACCCTTGTTTGCTTCCATCTGTAGAATAGGCGATTGGACTCGGGAGTCTGAGCTGCTCCTCAGGTCACGGCTCTATGGAAGGCAAACGCACTGGCCACCTTACTAATTTGTCGGTGGGGAAATGCACGTGTGTCAACATTTGGTGGGGTCCGGGAGTAGGGGTAGAGCAGCGGTGGGTGGAGAGCCTGAGTTGCCCTCGTTCTTCTCCTCGCCCCTTTCTCTTATGAGAGCTCGTCTTTCTGGGTTGGCGCTCAGGGCAGTCAGCTTGCCCTTTGAATCGCAGAGAAGCCGCCAGCTCCCTGGGCCTATTCGCAAGCGCGAGGTCTAGAGGCGTGGAGTTTGACAGCCCCGGAAAATCACAGCCTATTAAACGCTGTTTCCTCGCAGCCAATGAGAGGACCTGTTGGGCGGGACACACCCACTGATACCATGTGGGCCGGAACTATGTGGACCAATGAAGATTGGAGGTGAATTTTTTCACGGAGTGGGGAGGTGGAGTTGAGGTTTCTAATAGTACTGTACAGTGCAGAATGCTGAAATGCGTTATTTCACAATCTAAAGCTTGTATATATGTTAGTTTGTGAAGAGTCCCTTCCCCGCTGGAGATTCTGAGATGCAAATTGTAGATCGAGTTTACAACAGGTTTTTCTTATCTGAGCTGAACTTAATTCAATTTGTTACCTCATTCTGGGTCTCCTTAATGAAGCTTATAAATGGCAGAAAGCAAAGTAAGTAGAATGCATGCTAATAAGTGATTGCATTCAAACGTGCACCTTTTGCATATAGGTTATTCTGTTTCACATAGGGAAATTGCTAGATATGCTTTGGATTCGTCTGTAAAAGCTTGATATTTGGCAAACAGCTTCACTTTTTTCTGTTTCTGTTTATCAACTTAGACTCTTAGCTTTTCTGCATTCAGTTAAAGTCTCTGAGTCTTTGGAAAGCATTTTAACTCGACTGTGGGACGCGGTAACTCTGATACTTGTATTTTGTAGGTCTGAAATGTTTCGGTTGAAAGTTAACGTCTTGTCGGGAACTTTGAACCCATACAGCCGATTGGCTACGGTTATAAGGAAGGCATCTAACACCTGAATTTCTGTTTACTTTTGTTTTTGAGTCTTGTTAGAAAATGACTTTCTTTATGGATTTAGCATTGATTCCTAATGATTTATTAACGTGTTTTGCTTCTTTTGAAGCCACATTTTAGATATTTCTCTGATTTACATTAACAAACTGTATGAGAATTCACAATGTAAATAGCTAAAATATAACGAAAGAGAACTGCTTTGAGTATTTAGTATTGCTAGCTTAAATGGTCTGTGTTTAACTGAGTGTATAATACCTCTTGAAATAATTTTTGAGGAATTGAAAATACACTCTTTTAATAGCATGAAGGCAGAGAAAAAATAACCTTGAGCCTTAACTTTTGCTTGCAGATCCACAGGAAGTATTATTCTAGAATACAGGAAAGTATAACTTTATGCCTGTGTGCTTTGTCAGGTATTAGTTTTGTATTTTCTTTTAATGAAAACCATAGTTATTTTAAGTCTAGCGATCATACTTATTTATCAACTTTTAAAAAGAATTCATCAAAATTGACTTTTCATTATCCTATCATGTTTTTTTCTCAAATTTGAACAAACATTTCTGAAATAAATTTTACATGTTCTGAGCCACATCTGCTGTGTTGACTACCGAAATCTCTTAGTTAAAACTAGGCTTAATTTAGTATCTTTATACCTTGCCTATTAGCATTCAAGTATCTTTTTACAAAAAAAAATACTGCCCAATCAGTTGATATTTAGGTAATCTAAGACAAATCTACTTAGACTCAAGCACATCCCTTTTTTCTGATGACTGATAGATTTTTACATAAGCAATTATTACAAAGAGTATTTACATGCTTTAAATGAAATTTGAGTATGTGGTTGATAAAAGCGTCAAAGCTGGACAAATAATTAATTCCTACTTACAGTTTGCAACTTCAAACTCCTGCCTCTGTCCAAACCAGAGGTGTTTTAGGGCAGCCAGATATCACTTCTCTCAGATAGGCACCTGGATTGCATATGTGAGTAGGTATGTTTCTATTTGCTAATATTTTGGGTAGAGTGTAATAAACATTAAAATACTTCATGTTTAAAAGCAATGAATGGAATGAAACAAACAATTCAGTAGTTTTTGATTATTTAAAATTTTAAATCTGATCCCTCAGTGCAAGGACTATTCACAGTCTTGTAATCTAAAAATCAGAATAGTGGCAGGTTGATTTTGCTAAATCAGGAAATCTTGTCCACTCTTTTTATCAAAAGATCACCTCACTCACTGTGCTTATTATCCTTGGAAAGCTTTTCCAAGACTTAACTGCTTCTTCAAGCTTTCTTGGTTACTTTAGCAACTGGGTGCCCTCAACCAAGTTAGCTCTCCTCTTGGAATGCTGGAATCGGCTAGATGATCTTCAAGTATTGTTTCTTATACTGTACCTTCAGATTCTAAGATACTTTAGAGCTGACGGTTCTTTCTACATGACTTCTACACTAGTTATCCAGTCTGCCACATGGCTTAACATTTTATTATTATTATTTTAAAAGTTTTTATTTTTGCCTTGTGCTGATCGTTCCATGTATGTTACTGGTCTTTTCTCCGCAATTAAGTTGGAAGTCTTATTATAGATGGTAGTTTTTTTCATATACTGTGCAACTTGGGTACAGATATTTGAGTATTTGATTGATGTTGATGAAAAAGGTACAGGTGACATCATCACCACCTCACTGAAGTAACCATTTCCATCTGTACGACAGACGATGGCGAAAGTCCTTCAGTGGAGTTTCCATGAGGTCTCTATAGGGAGATTCCTTTTGCGTGCTCCTTGGTGCTCTGATTTTTTTGAAGCATACAAAAGTAGCAGACTCCTTATGGAGTCAACTCATATACCAAATATTTCTAAACTAATGATAGTCCTAGTAAAATGCCAAGAACCTAATGTTTGTAAATGGTGTAGTTATTCAAACTCTGGAGGGCTTGAGTTTGAATTGCAGCTGGATGACCTGGGGCCATTTATTTAACCTCTATGCTTCAGTTTCAGTATTGGTAAGATGGAGCTAATCATACAACCTCACCAGATTGATGTGAGGATTAAATAGGATAATATGTATATAAAGAACTTAGATTCCTGCTTGGCACATAGCAGTTATTCAGTAAATGCCAGCTGTCATCACCACCATATAGAACACTGTCCACCACTAACCCACAGGACAAGATGACTGAGCTGGCAGAGACACCTCAGAATGACTTCCTTACTTAAAAAGGGTGGGGGCTACAATAAGAAAGATCAAAAAGTTTTATTTGATTAACTATGACACTCCTAGCCCCACAATTACCTTTTTCCCCCCTTTGCCTCCCAAAATATTGGGTAATACAAAAATGGAGGAAAAAAGTAGGAAAAAGTACTCACAGTACCATCACTCAGAGAAAATGACTGTTTAAAATGTGCTAAAGGTAATTTTGGATCACACTAAGATAAGATTTTGATAACTTTCTTTTATTGGACTGTATTTGATTTACAATGTTGTATTAGTTTCAGGTGTACAGCAAAGTGATTCAGTTATACATATACTTATATCTATTCTTTTTCAAATTCTTTTCCCATTTAGATTATTACAGAATATTGAGCAGAATTCCATATGCTATATAGTAGGTCCTTGTTGATTATCTATTTTAAATATAGTAGTATGTATATGTCAGTCCCAAACTCCCAATTTATCCTTTTTTATTTAAACATGTTAGCAAAAGCATTTTCTTACAGCATTAAAGCATCATTTGCAATGGTTGTATTATATTCCCAATGTTCCATTATATAGATATGCCATAATTTATTTAACCTGTCTCTCATAGCTTTAGACTGCAGCTAGAGTCTCTAAACATCATAAACAGTTCTGCAGCAACAACTTTGTACATAACTCTTTATTTTTGATGAAATTGGTGAATACATACTTTTTGGAGAAGGAACAGAAATGACACAAAAGAGTATATATAGCTGTTGCCTTGAAATCCTGGATATTTTATTCATTTATTTTCTTTTTTCAGCTTTATTGAGGTATAATTGACATTTAAAATGGCAATATATTTAAAGTGTAGAACATGATGATTTGATATATGCATGCATTATGACAAGATTCCCATCATCAAGTTAAGAAATACATCCATCACCTCATATATTTACATTTTTATGAAAACACTTAACTCTGCTTTCTTAGCAAATTTCAGTTATACAATACAGTGTTATCAACTATAGTTACCATGTTTACATTAAATCCTCAGACCTTATTCATCTTATAACTGAAAGTCTGTACGCTTTTACCGGGCTCTCCCTATTTCCCTCACTACCACCACCCCAGTCCCTGGCAAACATTGTTATTCGACTCTGTTTCTATGAGTTCCACTTATTTTTTTTTAAGTTTCCATATAAAAATGATACCACGCACTGTTTGTCTTTCTCTGTCTGGCTTATTTCAGTTAGCATAATGCCCTCCAGCTTCATCCATGTTGTTGTAAATGACAGGATTTCCTTCTTTCTCGTGCGTGGCTGAATAATATTCTGTTGTGCACATATATGCCACACTTTGTTCATTCATCCATCAGCAGACACTTAGGTTGTTTCCATACCTGGATATTTTAGGCTCTAAGGATACTTGGAGACAAGCCACACTAGTGAAGAGAGGAGAAAAATGCAAAGGAGGTAATTGTTTGAGCCAGCAAACACTATGCTGCAGAAAGCTAAATACCTGAGTACCATCGGAAGACTCAAGGATGTGAGCTGCACTCTTCCTTCCCAGC